AGGAGGGGAGAAAGGTAGGAGGGGAGAAAGGTAGGAGGGGAGAAAGGTAGGAGGGGAGGAAGGTAGGAGGGGAGAAAGGTAGAAAGGGTAGAAGGCAGAAGGAGAGGTAAGAGGAGAAGAAGGTAGGAGGAAAGGAAGGTAGAAGAAGAGGAACATTTAGGAGAGGAGGGTAGGAGGGGAGGAAGGTAGGAATGGATGAAGGTAGAACATAGGAGAGGAAGGGAGGAGGAGAGGAAGGTAGGTGTAAGAGAGGACAGTAGAGGGGAAGCAAGGAAGAAGGGAAGCAAGGGAGGGCAGTGGAAGGGAGCAAGGGAGGAGGATAGGAAGGGAGGAAGTGATGAGTAGGGGAAGGGAGGGAGGTTCAGCTCTTTGTTGCATTCGTTTTAGAGAATAAGATTGTCACATACCTTTGAAGGAAATCAGACAAGAAAATTAGGTAAACAAAAGGACCAAATAATGAGAAGTAGCTGATAGATGTGATATCAACCAAACTGCAAAGATAAAAACAATCATATTACCTACCTAAAATACACAAATATTAGTATAAGAAATTGCACAATTTTGCATACAATTTGGAATTTATAAGTAGAAGTGATGTCTCGAAAGTTTTCAAACTTGGATGAGCCTTTTAGGCGATTCCAATTTGGGAACTTTCAAAACATCACAGGTATCCTATAAATTCCAAATCCTACCAGAAGATTGTGTGATTTTTCGTCTATGATCAAATGTAAAAGGGACCGCGCAGCATAATTTTGATTGAGGGGGATAATTTATACTGCTCTATGCTAGCTAATTATTCAGCGAGAATAGTAAGAGTACATTGATTAAAGATAAGTGTTCAAGGCAAGAGTTTTCTACCTGGTTAACTTTACCTACCATATTCCAACTGGTTCTTTAGAGAACACCACAAGACCACTTCCTATACTCTGAACAATATTTAAAACTGAAAGTATCCCACAATACCAGTAAAATGACTTCTTCACTGCAAAATAAAAGTACATACAGACTTTTAGGTAGAAGCTTATATGTATAAATATAATCACATCACTACTACTTTCATTTATCTTATATATATATATATATTTTTTTTTTTTTATCATAATAAT